TTGCATGCATGAGGCCCTGGGTTCGATTCCTCAGCACCACATAAGCAAAAAGAAAAAAGCCAGAAGTGGCGCTGTGGCTCAAGTGGTAGAGTGCTAACCTTGAGCTGAAGAGCTGAGGGATGGCTCCCAGGCCCAGAGTTCAGGCCCCACGACCGGACCCAAAAAAACCCAATACTCTAGTAAGTTGGCAGTATCTGAAAAGCTAAGAGACCAAGAATCCCAAAGCAAGCAGGTCTAGGTGTTTACTTCCCCTATTTTGTGGGGAGAGCAAAGAAAATGAGAGAGAATGGGTAGTTTCAAAAGTAAATAATACTGTTTTTAACATAAGTAATAAATTATTATTAGATGCTAATTTATAATATTGACATAATATTGAGGTTTGAATATGTGCAGTTGAAACGTTTGAATGTTAGAATTAGTAATACTTGATAGTGGCTGATTCTGAGCTATACTTGATTTGGTAGGAGTCTTCATTGTTTTGAGATAGGGGGTCTTTACAGTATTGTCGAGGCTGGCCTTTAACTTGTTCAAGCAATCTTCCCATCTCAGTCTTCCAAGTAGCTGGGAATATAAGCATGTACCACATGCCAAATCTGAGCTATCCTTTCTGTCATCATTCCTCTACGTTAGGAAACAATGTGGTTTGCTGGGCGCTGGTGGCTCACGCCTGTAATCCTAGCTACTCAGGAGGCCGAGATCTGAGGATTGTGGTTCAAAGCCAGTCCGGGCTTTGAGTCCATGAGACTCTTTCTCCAATAAACCACCAGAAGACCGGAAATAGCGCTGTGGCTCAAGTGGTAGAGCACTCGCCTTGAGCTGAAGAGCTTAGGGACAGCGCCCAGGCCCAGAGTTCAAGCCCCATGACCGACAAAAAAAAAAAAAAGAAAAGAGAGAAAACAATGTGGTATTATAACCTAGTACAGCACTTTGCACAGGACATTCAGTACACACCATGGAACTCACTGGAACTGAGCACCTACGTTTTGGAGAGGAGAAATTCCTAGGAACACTGGCCTCCTGTTTTTGTCCCTCCTGTAACTCTTCATATCTAGCTATTTTAATAATAAACATGGTTGGGTGTGGGATCACTTGTTTCAGAGTTGCCGGCCTTCAGATGCTTCTGCTACCAGACCTCCACCTCTGGCCACTGGACCATCTTCACTTACCCACCAAGAGAAAACTGCAGACTCTGGGACCACTGAAGGCATGTCTCCCTGTTCTGACTTCTTCCACGGATCAAGTATATAACCGTATTACAGGGATCTCATGCTGAGAATAGATAGACAGAAATACCCGAAGTTCCTTTGGTGACAATACTAAAGAAGTTAAAAATGAAAGTAGTCGAGATTTCACTAATATCCGAATTTTTTTTTTTTTTTTCAATCTCCAAGGAAAAGCCAACCTTTGCTTAAACCCAAAGAAGGGCTTTTCTTAATCACATTTTGTAGTTCTTGGTAATCAATAGCTTACCAAACCCTCTTAATGAAGAAGTTTGTCCTTAGTCCTACTTTTTCTCAAATACCTACAGGCGTATGGCAGCTGGCACCTCCGACACTGTGTAAAGGCTCACATATCAGTCAGGGAAACGAGGCTGAGGAAAGAAAGGAGCCTTGGGACCACACTGAAAACTCTGAAGAGGAGCCGGTCTCTGTCAGCTCAGGAAGTTGGGACCAGTCACACCAGCCAGTGTTTGAGGATCAGAATGTTAAATGTTTTGGCCACCTAGCTGAGCACACACAGTGTGAGAAGCCACAGGAAAGTACTGGGAGGGATTGTGCTTCTCTCAAAGCTCCTCATGGCAGGGGGGATACATCTAGGCACTGTTTATCCACCCCAGTAGATGCCAAAGGGCTCCAGGTCATGGGGAGCACTGTGAACTATTTCTGGGGTATTCCATTCTGCCCTGCCGGAGTAGACCCTAACCAGTATACCAAGGTCATTCTCTGCCAATTGGAGGTTTATCAAAAGAGCCTAAAAATGGCCCAAAGGCAACTTTTAAAAAAAAAAGTGTTTGGGGAACCAGTGTTACCTAGCCCCCCTTCTCTGATCCAGAATGAATATGGCCAAAGAGATCAGGCTAGTGACAGAAATGAAGGCATCTCAGAAGATGGGGGAGATGAAGACAAAGAGGAAAGGCAGGAGTCTAGGGCATCTGTCTGGCACTCAAAAACCAAGGATTTCCAAGAAAACTCAATTAAAAGCTTGAAACAGAAACTTTTGTTGGAGGAAGAACCAACAACCAGTCATGGTCAGGTAAGGGTCAGTGATGCTGTAATAAAGGATGGTTTACCCATAGATTAAAGAGGAATTATTGTAGCCTTTTGTTCTTTCTGTGGTCTTTTTTCCTTCCTTGATTATTAAAGTGTAACACCTGCGCACTATAGGAAATTAGGAGGGTACACAAGAATATAAAGAAAAAAGCTGGGTATGGTTGTGCATACCTGCTATCCCAGCACTTTAGAGGCTGAAGCAGGTAAGATCTCGAATTTGAGGCTTTGAGGCCAAAGGTGCTACATGGTAACCACCTCGCCCCCAAAAAAGGAAAGAATTAGCTATAACCCCTTCACCAAGAGGCAGTTAGCATTTTTGTATATATAAAAATACATTTTTAAAAGTTTTTGAGCAAAATGAAGCCTGTTCTGTATAAGCTTTTCCCCCAGCTTTATAATTATCCTATTATCCTCTTTCTTTCTTTCTTTCTTTCTTTCTTTCTTTCTTTCTTTCTTTCTTTCTCTCTCTCTCTCCCACTCTCCCTCTCTCCCTCTCTCCCTCTCTGTCTCTCTCTCTGTCTCCAGTCTTGGGGCTTGAACTCAGGGCCTGAGCTTCTTTTGCTCAAGGCTAGCACTCTACCACTTGAGCCACAGTGCCACTTCTGGCCTTTTCTGTGTATGTGGTACTGAGGAATTGAACCCAGGGCTTCATGCATGCTAGGCCAGCACTCTACCACTGAGCCACCTTCCCAGCCATCTTTTCTTTCTTTCTTTTGGTTGGTTGTGGGCTTTGAATTCAGGGCTTGGGTACTGTCCCTGAGCTCCCCCTCCCCCCCTCTCAAAGCTAGAGGTCTATCACTTTGAGCTACAGCTCTACTTCCATTTCCTGGTGGTTAATTGGAGATAAAAATTCATGCACTTTCCTGCCTTGACTGGCTTTGAACTGCCATCCTCAGATTTTTCAGGCTTTTTTTTTTTGCCAGTTCTGGGGCTGGCCACCGAAGCCTGGGCGCTGTCCCTTTTCTTTTGCTCAAGGCTAGCACTCTACCAATTGAGTCACAGCACCACTTCCCACCTTTTCTGTGTATATAGTACTGAGGAATTGAACCCAGGGCTTCATGCATGCTACTAGGCAGGCACTCTACCACTGAGCCACATTCCCAGCCCCGGACATCAGCCTCTTGAGTAACTAGGTTTACAGGCATGAACCACTGGCACTTGGACATAAAAAAAGTCCTAATTTTTTTCTTGATGTAGAATACAGTGTTGGATGAATCATAGTTTATCCAGTGGCCTATTGGTAAACATGTAGGTTTGTTTGCAGTATTTTCCTATTACAAGTAGCATTATAGGCAGTACTTCTTCTTGAACAGAGGACGTTTTATCCACTTGGGAGGTATTTGTAGGATAATTTGCTATAAGATCCAGCTAATGGATCAAAGGATATCTGCATTTACAGCTTACGTTAGCTATTATCCAATTGCCCTCTGTAGAGGTTGAGTACATGTATATTATCAGCAATGTATAATTACTGGTCTTCTCAAACCCCTTCCGTCACAGTGTTCTCAGACTTCTCAATATCTACCAAGATGAAAGATGATAGTCTTAATTTGTATTCCTCTTACCATTTGTGAGGTTGAACTTTTCCCCACATTCTAAGCCTATTTGCATTTTCTTTTCTGTCTCTTGGGATTTTATGGTCATTTTTCTTTTTAAATCTCTCTTTCCTGTCTCCCTCCTGAAGTGGTTTGTAGGTAACTTTTACATATCCGGGGAAGTGATCCTTTGTGGTAAGAAGTGCAGATGATTTCTCTCTTTATTCCTCCTTCCATAAAAGTTAAGTTTCTGCTTTTGCTTGTGGTGATATTTTTCTAATTTATTAAAAGCAGTTTCCATTTTATATTTGAATTACTTTTATAGTCTTTTTCTCTTGACAGCTAGATTAGAGTTTTTGTCTTCTGAAAGTTATAACAGCAATCATATTATACAATATTATTTTTAGTTTTGAAAGAATATCTGTGTTTATGGCTATTCTGGGTTTTGTTTTGTTTTGTTTTGTTGATTGTGTGGCTTGAACAGAGCCACAGCACCACTTCTGGTGTTTCGTGGTTAATTGGAGATAAGAGTCTTAGCCTTTCCTGCTCAGGCTGGCTTCAAACCATGGATCTTCAAGAGTAGCTAGGATTATAAGCATGAGCCACTGTTGCCCAGCTGTGTTTTGTTTGTTTGTTGTGTGTGTGTGTGTGTGTGTGTGTGTGTGTGGTGTGGTGGTGGTGGTGTTATTTCTGCTGTTAGCCTCTTGGACTTTCCTGATGGGGCTGGTTTTGAACCGTGATCCTCAGATCTCATCCTCCTGAGTAGTTAGGATTATAGGTGGGAGCCACAGAAGCCTGCCTTGTTTATTTTATTTTTATCGTGCTTATGTGGCTTCTCATGAGAAAAACCTAAGAGATAGTAACTTCCTATCATGGTACAGAGAGCATGGATTATTTAGAGAGAGGAGTTTGGCATTTGTGTTTCAATAATTCTATGTATTTGAGAAAGCTATTTTACTTCTCTGAATCTTACTTTTATCTCTGTAAAATAAGAATAGTAATTCCTATCATTAGTTATTTTTCTGGTTAAAGCAGATTAGTATGAAAAGCCTAGCATGATGCTTAGGAGATTATAGGTAACCAAAAATGGTAGTTCTGTCCTAGAAAAATCATTCATTGAGGTTATCTGTAGAGGTCATTCCCCCTCCCCCTCCCCACCCCACCACTAGTCCTGGGGTTTGAACTCAGTTCTTGGACAGTGTCCCTGAACTTCTTTTGCTCAAGGCTAGCACTCTACCACCTGAGCCACAGCACCACTTCCAGCTTTTTCGGTTTATGTGATTACTGAGGAATCAACCCCAGGGCTTCATGTATGCTAGGCAAACACTCTACCACTAAGCCATATTTCTAGCCCCAGAGATCATTCTTTTCTAGTAACTGTCTTCCTCCACAGTCTGGAAAGATTGGTATATGGAAAAAGAAGGCATTTTTCTTACCAGTTCTTCTAGTACCTGACTTTTTTCTAAGGCAGAGTTTTCAGTGAATGCTTTTGCATTTCAGAGATGATGATTCTTAGAAGAAAACTCCAAAGACTGACATTTAGTGATTGAAAGAGCCCAGTGGCTAGAGTTCTAGAGCATAAGCTATGAAGTTCTGTGTTGTGTCAAGCATACTTGAAGCAATGCTTTTCAGAACACTCCTGAAGTGGCCAAGGTCTAGTGGCTGATCTTACTGGTTAGAAGTTCTTCTAACATATGGGCATGTCATTAAATACAATAGTTGATACTGTCAAAGTAATTCAAAACAGGACTTTATTGTATAGAGAAGCTAGTGTTTCATAAATTGTAAAGCAGCAGTGTAATCAGACCTGAAGATACTGAGACCAGAACATCAACTAATTTTTCTGTATCTCATACTGTAATGTATATGCTTCATTTTTCTCCCTGAAGACTGGCTTCCCTTGCTTTATTTCTCACTGTAGGTTGAAGAAACTTGATTCTATAAGCTTTGGAACTTGAATGTTATAGATTTCATTTCTCAATTTTCCAGAAAAAAAAATTATGCTCCCATTTGGTCTTGACTCCTCTTACCAGCCTTTTTGGCTGTGGCCTGAAGGGATGGATATATGTGTCAAACTAGTAATGGGATAAGAGAGATGAGATGCAGTCCTTAATTTCAAGGAGACCAGGATGCCTCCATATATATAGGAGCATAATTTTTAGAAATTACATAAAGCCGGGTGCCGGTGGCTCAAGCCTGTAATCCTAGCTACTCAGGAGGCTGAGATCTGAGGATCTCGGTTCAAAGCCAGCCTGGGCAGGAAAGTTCATGAGACTCTTATCTCCAATAAACCGCTAGAAAACCGGAAATGGTGCTGTGGTTCAAGCGGTGGAGTGCTCGCCTTGAGCTGAAGAGCACAAGGACAGCGCCCAAGCCCAGAGTTCAAGTCCCACGACGGACAAAAAAAATTACATAAAAATATTAAAAATAATGAAAAGTTTTAAAAAATAAAGGCCAGAGCTGGAAATGTGACTCACTGGTAGAGTGTTCGCCTAGCCTAGCATGCATGAAGCCCTGCATTCAATTCCTCAGTATCACATAAACAGAAAAAAGCCTGAAGTGGCGCTGTGGCTCAAGTGGTAGAGCACTGGCCTTGAGCCAGACATGACAGGCAAAAAAAAAAAAAAAGGTCCAATATCCACATGAAGTAGGACTTTTTAGTTCATTTATTTTTTGTATGGTTCAGATCATATTAATGCATTTTTTCCCTGATACTGGGAACCAGTTTTGCAAGTACTGCACTACTATTCCCATAACTCATATTGGTATACTGTTGTATTTTAAAGTTAACATTATGAATCATTTTCTTACATTAAGATTATGTGTAGATTTCACCTTTAATGTCATTTTGGCCTGCAAATTTGCCGTAATATTAACAGAAAACATTTTCCTGCTGTGTATTTCGGTTGTGATCAGTATCTTTCAACATGGAATGTTTTAAATTTCAAATCTATGTCCTTAGGAATAGAGAGCTAGAGAAATGCTATGTTGGAGAGTTATGAGCATGCTTACTGTTTGTTGCCATATTGCCATATCTCAGAAAGATTGTTCAAATATGTACTTGCTCCCTCTAGCATAGTTCACTACAACTTTGCCAACTCAGAATAATATCCTTACAAAACAAAAGAAACAGAAACAAGATTACTGCTTTTATAGGCAAGTCATGAAAACCTTTAGGATTGTAATTTTACTTTTTAATCTTTTGCTTTCAATAACTGGATGGAAAGAATTTACAGAATGTATGGAAACTTTTTTTTTTTTTTTTTGGTCAGTTGTGGGGCTTGAACTCTCAGCGTGGGCTCTGTCTCTAGTCTAGCTCAAGGCTAGTTACTCTACCACTTGAGCCACATGCCACTTCTAGTTTTGAGTGGTTAATTGGAGATAAGAGTTTCATGGGTACTTTTCTACTTAGACTAGGCTGGCTTCAAACCCCCATCCTCAGATTTCAGCCTCTTGAGTAGCTAGGATTACAGGCGTGAGCCACCTGTGCCCAGCTTGGGAACATTTTCTTTTGAACATGGCTTTGCTCAAGTTGCTGGTGTTTGAGACTTTTGAGTTGATATAGAAAGCAAGAGTTTCAGAAATTGGGATAACAACAACAAAAAAATTCTCCTTGGGGCAAATGGCTTAGTCTGTAGTGAAGGTTATTAAAGCTTTTCAATCAGTTGATAACTGGTTTCCGGCATCACTGAGAGTCGGAAGGCTGTTACTGAAGTCTGAGAGGTCTTAATGGTTTTACGGGGCAGAGGTGTTGATGTACTTACTTACTACTTTTTTTTTTTTGGTAATGGTACTGAAGCTTGAACCCAGGGTTCACAGTCTGATCCCTAATTTTTCAGTCCAGTTGCTAGAGCTTCTTTCTTAGAAATGACCAGATTGTATAGATTTACTACCAAACTTCATGCTGATGAATATACAACAAATGACAGTTTGGTCATTATGGGATAGGAACACTTTTGATGACCAAAATACTCAGATTTACTGTACCCTGTACCTCCTTCTAGTATAAATAGATCTGGATCAGCAAAAGGGAGTTTCAAAGGAATAGCTTAGCTGGATGTGGAAAAGCCTGAGAAGCCATCACTGCCTCCCAACAGAGCTGTTGCTAGGGTAACCAGCAGGCGATCGGACTACAATGTTGAAGATACTATTTGAGTCTAGACTTTTAGACTTTCTCTTAAAACATTTTTAAAAAAGTTTTCATCAGTACTGGGGTTTGAATTCAATCTGGTGTGACAAGTGTTCCGGCCATTAAGCCAGGCCTCCATCCTATTTAACTTCAGTGCATTTTTCAGATAGGGTCCCATGCTTTTTCACAAAGCCAGCTTCAGACCATGATCTTCCTGATTCTGCCTCACAGTTAGCTGGGATAGAGGTATGACTATTATGGCTCTTTTGAGGGAAGGCCTCACTTTTTTTTTTTTTTTTGCCTATTCTGGTCTCAAGTTGAATTGCAGTCCTCCTGTTTTTGCCTCCTAAATAGCAGGCATGTGCCATCACACTTGGCTTAATATTTATCATTTTAAGATCCAGTGCAGACTATCCTCTTTTTACTTACCATTTCTTCAGGCACAGTGTAACATCGAGATTTGGCCATAGCTTCCTAAGGTTTCATTTTTCTCCTAAATTTTCCTCTTTACTTGATTTATGTTTAGGTAGTTTTACTGTCATGTTTTTACATTCTGAATGAAACTTACTTTATCCCTAAATCCAGATGACTACCATTGAGGTGTGTAAATTGAGGAATTAATGTAGTTTATTAGAATGAGGATATATGTAAAAACACAACAGTAGTGGTTAGAGCATGGACTTTGGAGTTAGGTAGGTTCCAGCTCATTGCTGATCAGCTGTGTGGTTCTGTGTGTTATTTAACCTTTTGAGGTTTCATTTTTGCTAATTTCTAAAATGCTTTAACAGCTAGTGCCTTACACGATTCTTGTGAAGATTAAAGGAAGTAATGGATGTGAGGATGATTGGGAGAAGCTTGGTGCCTAATATATGCACAATAACTTTTAAAGTATTACACTGGTATAGTTTGAGATATGTTTCAGCCTAAGGTAGAAATAGAGGTGCCTTGATTGCTTTTGAAGTCCTAAGCTTAGTCAGCTCATGATTCTAAATCATAATTTTATTTAATGGACACTAGGTGTCAGTGTTTTACTTTTTTTATCTAGTGTTTTACTTTTTTTTATAAGATTTTTTTAACTGCTGAGTTCAGTCAAGTGCAGTTTACTGCTGTTGTATTTTAGCCCTTTTGAGAATTCTGTTCAACTCTTAGTTTTTCATGGTGACTGCATTCCCACTCAGTGTATAACGTTACCTTCTTTTTCACAATAGAGTCAATTTAGCTATTCCTTTTTTTTTTTTTTTTTTGGGTAGTGTATTTCATCATTTACCTGAATAGTAGAGAGATGTCTAATTTGTGTAAGGTATTTATATCCTGTTAGGAAACCCTGGAAACTTTGTTCAGTAGCTTTACTTCTCCTGGAAGAAGCTTTACAGTCGGTGCTTTTCTTAGAAGAGCCTCTAGGGTAGCAGTAGCTAATACTTTCTGTGCTCTTGTACATGGGGGTGAGTTGGCATTGACCAGCTTTCCTGAGTAAGTGGAAACGCTCTTTTTCTTTAGTAGTCTATATCATTGCTTTTCTTAAAAGATATCCCTGCAGTGGAATAGCAAAACCATAGTGACAGTTTTGTAGCAAAAGACCTTGACTTTGGGGATAATCCTGTGTTAATGTCTTGGTTGTGCTCAGAGAGATCTCCTGTGGATGCAGTTGAAAACTGGACTTTTTTCTGTCCATTCCCTTCTTAAATATTAAAAGCTTTATAACTGCTTTTCTGAACTTGTAATTCATTTGACTTACTTTTTTTTTTTTTTTTTGGTGCTAGTCTTGGAGCTTGAACTCAGGGCCTGGGACCTCTGCCTGAGATATTTTGAGCTCAAGGCTAATGATCTAGCACTTTGAGCCACAGCACCATTTCTGGCTTTTTAGCAGTTAATTGGAGATGACTCTCACCTACTTTCCTGCCTGGGTTGGCTTTGAACCATGATCGTTAGAGCTCAGCTTCCTGAGTAGGATAAGCGGGCATGAGCCATTGGCACTGCTTTTTATTTTATTTTTTATTTAATTAATGGTCCTTGAGTTTGAACTCAGGGCCTCTCTTCTTTGTGTTTGCTAGGATTGCGCTCTACTGCTGAGCCAGACCTACATTGCTGTGTAGGTATGTGTCTGTGTAGTGTCCGTGTAGCCCAGCCTAGCCTGTAACTAGAAGTAGGCTGGCCTTGAACTTGAGATCCTCTTGCCTCAGTCTTAGGAGTGCTGGGATTACAGATATGTGCCACCATGCTGTGCTCTGGTCTGATTTTGTCTTTTAGATATGCTCTTTTACTGAAACTAACTTATGTTACTGCTGGGTTATAACATTGAACAATACATTTTTTTTTTTAAGGGAAGGAACTTCTAGGCATTTATACACAGACCAAAGGAAGTTACGCTTAGGGGATGAACACAAAAGGCACAGTGCCTATGTGCTTTTTAGTTTATATTACATAAGCCTATATAAAATCATACTTATTGAAATGAAAAAACAAAAACAAGAAACCTTTATCTTAAAAAAAAAAAGGAAGAAACCAGTTCATGTGCGATTGTATATTTAGGATGTTTCCTATTTCTTTGCAGTCTTTTCAAGGGCTGTTTGTTGAAGAAACCGCTGAAGAAAAAAATGCTGCACCTGTTTCACAAAGGTTAGATCATTTGCTGTGAGTTTCAGCTCCTCTCTGCTGATAGCCGTGTCAGGCAGGTGAATTGCAGGAGTGAGAGGGACTCCCTGGACAGTCTGCCTAGGAATATTGAAGTCCTTTGTAAGCATGGATTAGCACAGCAGCTCCAACTTCTCAGATAAGCTTAGAAAGGTTATCTTGTCTACTGGAGTCATCTTGGCATAAATTGTATATATAGTACTTTTGAGAAATAGTCATTTCCTGTTATTCTGTGTGTGCACACCACATGCATGCATATTATTAGTACTGGGACTTGAACTCAGGACCTGGGCGCTATTCCTTGTTTTTATGCTTAAGGCTGGTATTCTGCTACTTGAACCACAGCTCCCTTCTAGCTTTGTGTTAAGTGGAGATAAAAGCCTCAAAGACTTTTTGTCTGAGCTGGCTTTGAACCCAGACCCTGAGATACCAGCCTTCTGAGGAGCAAGGAGCACAAATGCAAGCCACTGGTGTCCATCTCTGCTATTCTCTTAACTACCCTAGCTTTCTGTGCCAATTTGAAGTCTCTAGTGTGATTATTTAGGCCACACAGACACTGTGTGGTTCTCTTTCCTATGTCTCATCTTTCCTATAAGTGGTTACCTTTGCATTGTCTCCTCTATTATTGTTAATTGCCTGATAGGGTTACCTTCTAAGTCCTTTTACTTTAACAGTAGGTAACAAGTAATAGGCTATTTGTTATAAACTGTTCTACTAACTGGATCATGTTTCCAACCATTTGTCCACTTTGTGTGATAGTTGAGATTCAGGGATTTTTCAAGAGCATATGGAAGTTGAGGCTTAGTGACTGGCCATTGGATGTAATTTAAATGGTTGTCTGTCTTAACTTTTTGTGGATAGTACTGGGCATTTTTTTCCTCGGCTTTGGTTTGATATTTGTGTATTAGGACAGTTTTGGAAGTGTTTTAAACTGGCGTGGGTCTTCTCCTCCCTGTAGGCCTCTCTCTGCTTTATTGTGGTGAGTCTGTGCAGAGCAGATGTAGCTTTTAATAAATGATTATATGCTTTGTCACCAGGAGAGAGTTGAAATTGCAAGCAATGTGGTTTGACTTCAAATTGATTAGCCCATTTTATAAATGTCAGCAAATTGTTTTGTGATGGACCCTTTGAATAGAGTCCTAATGTTACATGCAGAGTAAACTGTGTCTGGCTTGGTTTATAACAAATGCTATGAGATGTTTTATTTAGAGAGAGAAATCACTTGTGGTTTCCTGTCAGGATTTACTTATTTATCATGAGTCAGTGGTGGCTATTCTCTCTTCTCTGTGGTTCTTGGTTGATGTGAGGATTTGTGTTTTTAAGTGTCTTCTTGCATACTTGATCAAACTAATCATAGAGCTCTGTGAAGCATGAGGGGGCTAGTTCAAATGCTCAAATCTCAGCCGTGTGTTCCTGTGTCAGGAAGAAATCATACCAGATGAATAGGCAGAGAAACCAGAAGGTTGGATGAGGGAAGCCATTCATAATTAAATTTTTCTTGAATGAGGTGTACAACTTGTGTGGGCAGATTTTTGTTGTAGGACAGTTTGGAACTGTATTTTATTTTTGTTGTTTATGTCTTGAGAAAAAGAGGAAATTTAACTGCAAGCTAAAGGAGAAGCTAGTGCTGTCTGTAGACTCTGTTTTCTGAGTTTACGTATCCCTAGTTTTCAGAAGGCTGAGTCAAAAGCATCTTTGTGTTAAGAGTTTGTGTCTTCTGTCATATTCACAAGCAGTTCTTACCCTTTATCTTTCCTTCATGAACATTCCAAAAGGGATTTCTTTTCATTCAGTGATTTTGGTGTAAGCATGTTTATGTTCCCTGTTTCTAGCCTAGAGTTTTACTACTGATTCCTTGCTTTCCTGTTGTGCTTTTGTGTTAGTGGACAGCAGGTATCAGATTACCTGTGGCTTTGTGAATGACTCACCATTGCTTTTGGCGCTGTGTTCTGATTTATTTTACTGAAAATTCACTTGGGGTTTGGTTCTTTTTCAGCACTGCTGCTTTGACCAGTAAGAAAAGCTTAGTCCTTATGCCAGAGAGTTCTGCAGAAGAAATCACTGTTTGTCCTGGTAAGCATCTCTGCTGATTTTACTGAGATACTAGATTTTACTAGATACTTAGCTGTCTACTGTTTTTTATTTTGTTGGTTTCTTTGTTTGTTTGTTTTTAATTTAGGTTGTGAGGTTTGAACTGGGAGCTGTCCCTGGGCTTTTTCACTCAAGGCTAGTCCTTTACCACTCTGATCCACAGTGCCACTTCAGTTTTCTGGTGGTTAACTAAAGATAAGTGTCTTGAGATCTTTCCTGTCTAGGCTGGCTTCAAACCATGATCCTCAGATCCTCAGCCTCCTGAGTAGCTAGGATTACAGGCCACTGGTGCTCAGCCTGTTTTATTCTTATAAGTTTTTTTTGTTCAAAACACTCTCAAGGGCCTGGGAAGGTGGCTCAGTGGTAGAGCACTTGCCTTACATGCCTGAGGCCCTGGGTTTAGTTCTCAGCACCACATAAGCAAAAAGAAAAAAGCCAGAAGTGGCGCTGTGGCTCAAGTGGTAGAGCGCTAGCCTTGAGCTGAAGAGCTGAGGGACAG